AAAAACTTTCTTTTTTAGTTTTAAACCTGCTACCCATTAACTTCTTTTGGTGTCCTCTAGTTCTTCTATTCTGGGAACTAATAAATAACTTTTCTTTATTCACCCGCTCCATACCACACATGATTTTATATACCTCTATCATATCCCCCCTCAGTCTCCTCTTTTCTAAACTGAAAAGCCCCAGTCGCTTTAATCTCTCTTCATATGGGACCCGTTCCAAACCCCTAATCATTTTAGTTGCCCTTTTCTGAACCCTTTCTAAGGCCAAAATATCTTTTTTGAGGTGAGGAGGCCACATCTGTCCACAGTATTCAACAAGTGGGTGTACCATAGTTTTATACAGGGGCAGTAAGTTACTCTGTGTCTTATTTTCTATCCCTTTCTTAATAATTCCTAACATCCTATTTGCCTTTTTGACTGTCGCTGCACACTGTGTGGAAGTTTTCAGAGATCTATCCACGATATCTCCAAGATCTCTTTCCTGATTTGTCATAGCCAAATTAGTCCCCATCATACTGTATGTATAGTTGTGGTTATTTTTTCCAACCTGCATTACTTTACACTTATCCACATGAAATTTCATGTGCCATTTTGTTGCCCAAATCACTCAGTTTGGTGAGATCTTTCTGAAGTTCTTCACAGTCTGCTTCTGTCTTGACTATCTTAAACAGTTTTGTATCATCCGCAAACTTTACCACCTCACTGCTTACCCCTTTCTCCAGATCATTTATAAATAAGTTGAACAGGATTGGTCTCAGGACTGACCCTTGGGGGACACCACTAGTTACCCTTCTCTATTCTGAAAATTTACCATTTATTCTTACCCTTTGTTTCCTGTCTTTTAACCAGTTCTCAATCCACGAAAGGACCTTCCCTCTTATCCTATGACAATGTAATTTACACAAGAGCCTCTTACTAATCTATTAAGACATGATTTCCCTTTACAGAAACCATGTTGACTTTTGTCCAGCAAATTATGTTCTTCCACATGCCTGACAATTTTATTCTTTACTATTGTTTCGACTAATTTGCCCGGCACTGAAGTTAGACTTACCGGTCTGTAATTGCCAGGATTGCCTCTAGAGCCCTTTTTAAATATTGGTGTCACATTAGCTACCTTCCAGTCATTAGGTACGGAAGCCAATTTAAAGGATAGGTTACAAACCACAGAGAATAGTTCAGCTATTTCCCATCTGAGTTCTTTTAGAACCCTTGGATGAATGCCATCCGGTCCCAGTGATTTGTTAACATTAAGTTTTTCTATTTGTTCCAAAACGTCCTCTAATGACACTTCAATCCAGGACAGCTCCTCAGATTCATCACCCACAAAGGACAGTGCTGATTTGGGAAACTGCAAAAAGACATTCTAGCAATAATGTTTTTTGACATTAGTGACAACACCACCTCTCACAAGAGAAAAATCATAGACTATTGTATCCCGCTATCTTAAGATGAACCTGAAGAGGACTTTCTAGAGCAAGTGCTTTGCAAAATGAGACACTTAACGGAGGGCACTATACTTACCAAGCCAAAACAAGGGATTTCACAAAGTAGAGGCAAATGAATTATATGGAATCCCAGTGGAATCTAGCTCAAACTAAATAACAAAGGACTGAAAAAAAATAAAAATAAAATGAAATCCTCAGAGACAAATGAACTCTTTCCTTTATTTATCAAAAAAAGTTGATCCTAAATAGGTTGTACATTTGACAGCTAGAAAAAAGGCCGAAATGGGGCTGAGTGTAGGAAGTTCTCAGTTCCTTTCACAGAATCCCAGGGCTGGAAGAGATCTCAGAAGGTCATTGAGTCCAGCCCCCTGCCCAAAGCAGGACCAATCCCAACTCAATCATCCCAGCCAGGGCTTTGTCAAGCCGGGACTTAAAAACCTATAGGATTCCGTCACCTCCCTAGGTAACCCATCCCAGTGCTTCATCACCCTCCTAGGGAAATAGTTTTTCCTAATATCCAACCTAGACCTCCCCCACTGTAACTTGAAGACCATTGCTCCTTGTTCTGCCATCCGTCACTATTGAGAACAGCCTCTTTCCAGCCTCTTTGGAACCTCCCTTCAGGAATTTTCGTACATAAAATTGCAGGTTCCGATTTGTGTCTCAAATCTGCAGAGGTTGGGTCGCTGGTTTTTGCATCAAAATGTTGGAAGTGTGTGGAGATAAAATAATTGGAAATAGGACAGTTGAAGTCAGTGGTTTGACCATTCCTTTTTTAAGCATT